TCAAAGCGTATAGCCGCCCGGCGATACGTTTGAAATATTATTCTTATAGAGTATAGCTGGATGGCTATTACGTTGGTATATATATTCTAAGTATAGCCGCACGGCTATACGGTTGGAATAGTATGTATTTTATAAAGAATAAATATAAAGTTTTATTATTTAGGTCAAAAAAGTTTTACAAAAAAATTATTTTGATACTTTCATTTGTAATTATGTTTTAGTTATTATTTCTTTAGTGGATAATTAGTATTAAATATTTTAATTAACTTCTTACTTAATAAATAGTAATTAATTTTTTTCTTTAATAAAATATTTAAATACTAATTATTCACTGACTAGATAATAATTAAAACATAACTTCTAATTAAAGTAATTAAAAAATTAAGATCCATATTATGCTATTTAAAAGTATAGCCGCTATACTGTTGAAAGTTTCTATTTAAAGAGTATAGCCGTTCGGCCATACTGTTGAAATAGCCGTTCGGCTATACTATTGAAATATTCTTCTTATAGAGTATAGCCGCCCGGATATACTGTTGAAATATTCTATTTAATATTCTACTGGCAGAATACAGCCGCACGGCTATATAAAAATAAATATAAACTTAGTTTCTTAAGGTCTATAATTTTTTTTAATAAAAAAATTATTTTTAGTAATTAAGTAATATCTTAGCATTTTTTTAGTTACTTTCATTTGTAATTATGTTTTAATTATTATTTCTTTAGTGAATAATTAGTAATTAATTTTTTTCTTTAATAAAATAGTTAAATACTAATTATTCACTAACTAAATAATAATTCAAACGTAAGTAATTAAAAAGGAGATAGCCATTGCCTTTTTTTTTCTGCCTTTTCTTCATTCTAAACATTTTAAGTAAATGTATTATCTTTGTACTTTAATTTACTTTTATATTACTCCAAACACAAAGAAAAAACCGAAAAAACAGATTATAGCTGAGATGAGAAGTCACCCTAAACTCTGAAATTCATGTGATCACAGAGGATCATGATTGTGAATTTGTGATCTTTTTTGTATTATAATACAATATAAACTCCAAGGCATGTGAGTTCTATATATGGCCATGAGAACTTGAGTCTAATGACGTACCTGAGATGAGTCCCTAACTTGAGAGCTTGAGTCTTAATACGTACTGTCAGATATTTTACAAAACATAGAAATAAGATATACTGGGAGAGGGGAGATACCTGTGTGGGAGTCTGAGAGATGAGTCAAGGTGGGTTAGGTTTTTATATATATATATATATATATATATATATGATAAGAATAATATGAGGAGTTTTGTGTGATGGCCTTTATCAGACTCTCTAAAGATACAACATGGACTTATGTTGATACGAGAGTGAAAACAAATCAAGACGTTCTTTGCATTGAAAATAAAATTGATGCAGTTGACTGTCGCAGCAAACTTTTTTCTTTTGATGTTACTACTCAGTCCTAGTCAGATTTAAAATGTGTTGCAGAGGGTGTGAAGCCAGTAGGGTTCATGCTGAAATATTTTGTGGCTTTGAATGATATTGATGGTTCACATCACAGGCTTTCAAAGCTAGATAAAGATGGAATGTACGTGAAGGAGCAAGTCAAAATTTCCGAATTGAATTTCGATGAGTACGTGAAGAAAACGCTGTTTATTTTCGAATATTTTACAGCACACTTGCTAAGACGCTGATCGAGATGGCCAGGCGGCCCCCAATTTGGGTGGTTCTTAATAAGTCCATTCACAAAGAGTGAGGAATAAAGGGAAAGGTTTATATTTTTATTTTGGAAACCAACTGCTTACGAAATCATCAGAGTCACCTTACATATTACAAGGAAATAACTCCTCGAATCTTATTTTCCTGAATATCACATATACCCGACAACGGGTTGGAAATAGGTTTTTTACTTGCTTACATACGTGACCTTGAAGATGGGGATGTCGAAGCGGGTGCACTCTGCAGGACAAGAAAAAATGTCACGAATTTACTTCAAATCTCGAAGTTACTTCAGAGGTTTTTTTTTTTTTTGGAGGAGAATGAGAAAAGCTTCTAATATATCCAAATCCAATAAAGGGAAAAATTCGACAACGAAAATAAGAATCGTTGTTCTTACCAGTGGCACACCCTTCATTGCTCTTTCTTCCAAAAATCTCGATGGTCTGTAAAAGTTACCATATACTCCGGACCATTTCTTGAGACTATCGTATATATGCTTAGGCCCAACCAGGTCTGCCCAAAATATAATACCACCCCTGCCACAGAACAAAGAAAGAAACAAATAAAATAATTACTCTCAACCAAAGGACCATATTTCAAATTACACACGCCCAAATGACTGAGTTACAGCCAATTCAAAAGCAAAGTTCAAGCAGGTATGAGGGTCAAAATGCAACTCACCGGTAAGATGGGAAACTCATCCCAAGAACAGATGCAATGTCAAGGTCCGATGCTCGAACAGCTATTCCTTCATCTAGAATACGACATGCCTCATTCACCACAGGGAAGAGTATCATCTCAAGAATTTCTTGGTCTGTAACAGATAAAGGCTGCCAGCCATTGTCCAGCAAACACAATTAGCATGAATATCACATACAGCTATGAAAAGCAACTACATCAAGACAAGGTAGTTCCAATTATAGCATTGTTGTGCACAAATTAGTGTCTACTATCTTATCTAAAGCAAAAGTACCTTGCCACCGGGCATAATATTGGTAACTCGTCTAGATTCCTCAATAATTGGTAGCACAGAAAGATCAGGTTTTGGCTTGCTTCCCTTTACATAAATGTAATATCCCTTCCCATTGTTTTTACCTAGAATTCCAAAAGAAAAATTTTGGAATAAAGAACATGTAAAAGCATTATAATACCCCCACAAGTCTAACAACATTGGTGAAGCTCTACACT